GGAATCTGAGGTTTCTGTGAGCTAGGCTGATGCCATGGCACTCTAGCCCAGGTGACAGAGCAAGACTCTGTCTTTAAAAAAAAAAAAAAATCCTTATTAGATGACAGTGATGAATGAGATTATAACTGAATAATATAAGCCTAAGAAGACGAAAAATTTGTACCTAAGAATAAGATTAAATGTCAAGTTAGTCAAAATTATCAAACTATTAATAGTAGTCCTAGTTCATTCAACAATATTTTACTAAGTGATTACTATGTCACAGGCACTTTGCCAGCTGATAGGAATACAGACAACTTATTTGCTGACTATCCTTGTATAAGCAACATCCTCCCTAATTCCCATTTTTTCATGTGCAAATTGGCAATAATACCAACTTTGCAACATTGTTGTAAAGATTAGAAATAATATAAGTAAAACATAGGACTTTGTATATAGTAAATGCATAAAACAGATGAGGGGTTTTTCCTTTTAAAGACAGTCTCTGTCTTCAAGGAGGTAATAGTCTATTGAAAAGACATCATCATCATTAATGTTTATTTAGAATTTACCATGTGCCAAGAACCATGCTAAGCACTCTACATGTATTATCTCACCTTATTCTCATAATAACCGTATGAGATAGATAGATAGAAACTCTTATTTTCTCTATTTTGGAGATGAAGAAACTGAGGCACAGAAAGGCTGAAGAGCTTGCCCAAGGCCATACACCTAGTAAGTTATAGATCGAGATTCAAACCCAAGCAGCTTCAGGCTTAGTGCTCTTAACTACTAGGCTATGCTACAAACCAAATATAATAATATTATAATAGTTTAAATGGAAGTATATGCAAGAAACAATGCAATACAAGAAAAAGAGCCAAAGTTTAGTAGCATATAAGCTGAGATTTAAATGGTGCCTGCTTAACAAACAGGGAGCAAGCATGCCAGTGAGACAATGTAACAGTTTTAGAAATTCTTTCTGGATGGCAACTACGAATGATGCTGCCAATGCCAGAACACCTAGCAGAATGGATAAATAATTAAACTCAGTAGAGCAATGCCATTCATAAAATATCACTCACCAGAAAGAATATAACTACTGGTGACATACATTGTAAGCAAAATCAATAGAAGCTAAGTCATCAAGCTAGTTTAACCTGTTGCTGGCATGATTACAATGATACTACAGGTGGAACTTGCCCTGCACAAAGTTAAATCACTAAACAAGTCTTGTGGCAACCCCTCCCTGTCTTTAGTCCTTCAATGCCAGTACCTTGAATAACAAGCATTTCTTGTTCCTCGTAGGCTCTCTTGTCTATGCTAACTCCCCATAGTTCTAAAAGAAAAATAATAGATTATAGCTTAAGAATTTGGGAGAGATATATTTTATAAAGGATCAAGATCTCAAACCAGACAAATAAAAAAGTAACTATGGAACTTTGGGTGGAGGGAAAACAGAAGGGTGATATTTTAAAAGCGGTCATGTTTCCACAATGCCCTTAGTAGCCCTTTGGATGAGATGGACTCTAGGACAGGTTCTTAGTACTAAATGCGGATACTTTAATAACTTGCTTTAGATTTGAATCTTTTGGTTTTAAGATTTTACCAAGCCAATAATAATAAGGGGGGAAAAAAGAGCCACTCATAAAAGAAAAATCATTAGCAAAAACAGTCAGTGGATTCTATGTTTCGGAACTTTAAATTTTGAGGTCCCCCACCTCGATGTTCCATACGATTTACATGCAGTTCTACCTAAAAAGCACAGATATCCTTACTATACTACTCTGTGATTCTTTAAAAAGTCTTGCTCCTCTATGTACTTTCTCATAAATTTACCATAAAATCAAAACTACATCTTCTGTTGTCTACCATAAGAGTTTAAGACTTTGTTTCAAAGAATACTTGAAAACAAATGTAATACCCAGGGTAAAAACACAATAATGATAAAATAGTAATAAAAAGCTCATACATACAGTTTTTAAGTAGAAAATATTTGAAAATATCCTTTCCCAAAATGTTTACAAACATTTGCCTGGAAGCTTGCTAGTGTTCCTTAGAAATTTTCCAAGTGGCATGTGCTTCCCCAAGGTGGATCCTGAAGTACAATGGCACCCAAGAGTACTGAACTGATAACAAAAACACAGAAATGGCCAAGTACGGTAGCTTGCACCTGTAGTCCCAGCCTCTTAGAAGGATGAGGCAGTAGGATCACTCGAGTCCAGAAGTTCAAGACCAGCCTGGGCAACATAGCAAGAACCCATCTCTTTAAAAAATAAAAAGAATTAGCCAGACGTCGTGGTGACTTCCTATGGTCCCAGCTACTTGGAGGGCTGAGGCAGCAGGATTGCTAGAGCCCAGGAGTTTGAGGCTGCAGTGAGCTATGATCACCCCACTGCACTTCAGCCTGGGCAACAGAACAAGACCCCATCTTTAAAAAAAAAAAACAGAGGTTCTAACCCGGGTTCTACCTCTTCTAACTTTGTGATTTAAAACAAGTCCCCTTCTCTTTCTTGGGCTTTGGTATCCTCATCTATAAAGCAGGAATAATAACATTTATCCTACCTACTTCATAGGATTGTTGTAAAAATGTAAAAGATATTATATATTACAGTGCTAT